AAGAAAGGACTTGTATCGCTAAAGTTTCTTCGGAAATATTTTTTACGGAAAATTAACAAACGAACAGAGACGTAACAACTCTTTAAAATAAATTTATTGTTTTGGAGGTGAAATTTGATCGTGTGAAAAACGGCTTATGCAAACAATCATAGAAAGAAGACGAGAACGCATACTTTGTCAGCTGAGAGCAGAAACATGATTGGGTGGTGCTGTTCTTTGAACTGAGTAATCATATAAGGCAGTGTAAGCATGTTGCTTAGTTAAATGTAGATTTACTTTGAACGACGTTGTTTTAGTGTGATGGAAGAATTTTACGTCAAATTTAATGACTTACTGCTATTTTTTAAAAACTAATTTTCTTTATTACACACTACAGTACAACTGTGATATTCTCAGTGTAAATTGATTTCTACAAGATAATTATTTAAGTTTGCTTTATAATGGGAGGATCGGCAGGATAAATCACAAAGTATTGCTGAGTATAACTAACTCGAATAAATCTAAGCCAAGAAATAAAGAGATTGGATACAATTTGTGACAAAAATTAAAATAATCTTTATTTATTTGCAACAGCAAAGTATGTATATTTATATCGAACACTGGCTCGATTAACTGCTTTTCTTCAACTAACTATTTAACGTTTTTACTTAAAAGGAAACGTTGAATTTACTCCTAGCAACTAGCGCTACCCACGTGACTGGTCATTCTCTTTTAACATAGGGTAGCCGTAACCTCTAGATATCATCTGGCCAATCATCGAAATATACTGTTTTCATCTGTATTCAACGTACAGTTTTACAACAAAATCTCTTATAGACAGGACAGGTTTTACCTCCAGAGAATAATAAAGGAACAAAAGCAGCTTGAACAAAATGAACTTAATGACTCGCTGAACCACATGTTACGCAAAAACTGCCAGATAGAGAAAACAATGAAAATTTATACATTAGAATAAAAAGTTATACCTGCATACCACACAAGTTTACTTTTAGTTGTACACAATTAATAGTTCTTCCAAATTACATTGGAGGTGGAAAAATTAGCAATTAGAATATGGAAGAATGTAAATTTTGCATGTGGTATTCAAAGCCACTGACACATAACAAAATGGTCAAAAGTTCTCGCAGAACACAAGCCCAGGACTGTTAAGAAAAAATTAATTCAATATTGAAAGTAAAAACAACAACAACATAAACATAAACAAACAAAATGACTTTCCTACCAAACTCAGTGTTAGGTTACCAAAACTGGCTGGGCCTCTTCTTTAGTATCATCTGGCTTTTGAGGTCGAGAAAATCAAGTGCTTGAAGTTCAATGACAAAGGATGTAGTATATGTATCCCTTATCTGTGCAAAAACATTGGTGCACATTTACAACCTTGTAACATATGATCGACACAGATTTGATTAAATACATGCAGAACAAAGTCCTATATAATAGGATGTAGTTCGATGAGGAAACACTTCGGATCAAGGAGTTTTATATTTTATACTACATGTTTATGACCTTGAGACGTCCCGTCAACAAGAATATAATTAACTATATAAAAACTATTACATGAATATACCCAAATAAATAAATATTTTGTACTAGTTACGGAAGGATAAAATTTCAGTCATTACATGCACACAAAATAACACAATATATCCTGCATTTTAGAGTTAATTAATTTGTGATTATATTAATAAACACGCTGATTATGTAGTGGTGCTGTAGTAGTTATCCTGCGACAGTGTGATTTATAATTTTTCAGTTTCAAAGTACCGTTTACGTCTTTACTAAACACGCTGTTTATGTAACATGTTTATACGGTGATACTGACAGTGCTCATTCCGAGAATTAGTTAAATATTAAAACATCATTCATACGAATGCCCGAATTTTATATCAGATTTGATAAAAAATTGCAACTTTGAATTCAAACAGGGTAATAATTTTAATTTAAGGTTGAAATAATTTTGGTAGTAATGGTATTACTATTAATTATTAGTACTATTACTATTGTTTTACTTTTTAAGCTTGTATTTTTAGCTCTGTTACTTTGTTACGTTTACTAAATTATACTTACATAAATTATACTAAAATTATACTGGGCGTCTATTACATGTTGATTAAATGATTCTTAATCATTAAAAATAAGAGTGATAATTAATAAATATATAACTAAATTTTTAAAACATTTAGTTTCAAGAT